TAAATCACATTTTAGAAGGTATTTTAGTTATATCTAAGCATCCACTCACTGGCAGTATCAAAATGCTAACGGTACCTGTGTATGCTCTGCAGGAGTTCCTGACATAACTGCATTTCACATCTCCTTAGCATGGGTTCAGATAACTCCAGACGTGGGGTACACGTGGATCTTCCTGGCATCTGGTTTTGGCCAGTCCCATGGCTAGTGGAGTCAAATGGAAAAGCCGCTTTTGAGTGAAGAGGCTTAGAGGAGAGCAGGATGCGGGCAAGCACAGGCACCGCTGCCCAGGTAGGTGGTGGAGCTGCCATCTTTTGAGAATTCCCCAATTTGGCTAGTTGAGGCCCTGGAAAAAGCCCTTTCAGCCTCAGTTACTGTATCTGGAGCTTGCAGGCAGTGACAATCTGTCTCTGAGCATTTATGGGATGCCCCTCAGAGCCCTCCTCGGGCAGAGATGCTAAAAGCCTCCCAGCAAAGCCTGGAGGAGCTGGCTTGCCCCAGCCTGACTGACGCTGCAGTACGAAGGAGGGTAGGAAGAAAGCTTGAAAAAGTCACACCGAGGCTGCAATTTCCAAAGCAGTGTGAAGGAACTGGATGCCTTTATGCCCTCCAGCTGAAACACTAGGTCTTGGCTGTTAATAGACTATGCTGTAAATGTAGCATTTCCTTTACCTAATCATGGACAATTAGGGGGAGGCACTTGTTACTAGCCAGGCAAAAACCTTTTGTCTGCAGTGGCGTTCTTCCCCATGGTGGAAAAGAGCAGGTTTTGGGCAACCTAAGACAATGTGGCCATAACAGCAGCAAAAGCAGAGGGAGACACAGCCTCAGATGAAGCTGAGACAGTAAACAGAGAAATAACAGTTCTGAAAAGTCCATAGTTTTCCTGGATTCATTTCCCTCCTTTCCAAGCATTTTGCTGAGCACTACAGGATTCAAGCCATTATTATTTTAAGAAGTTTTTTTGGCTTTTCTGCCTGCAAAAATAGTCATCACTTGTAAATTGAAGGCATCGATGTCTTATCTGGTCTGCAGCCAGAGGGGCTGGAAGCAATAGAAGAAGTGTGAACTTTCTCCTTCATCTCAGAGAACATTAACTTCAAAGCCCAGCCGTAAACTTTCAGATGTAATGACTATTTGTCCAAAGGAGAAACACATCAGCTTGATCAATGACTGAAAGGTATAAAACACAGAGATTACATTTGCTAAACACTTGTGAAAAGTACATGGTTATACTTGGGTATGTGGGGGGGTGATTGATTACTGAATTATTTGGGCAGGCAGACCTTAGGGGCAGAATCAAAGGTTGTCGTGGTTTGTTGTAGGTCCAGCATCGAGTGGTTTCTGTCCCTAAGGAGGCTGGGCTGCCATGTCAGAGCTTGCCCCAGCATGCCGTTGGGTGCAGACCTTTGTCACTGAGTGAGGACCTTGTGGCTGTGTTTGCAGCTGCACGACCCCAACGCTTTTCCTAATAAACTGTGGGAGAAAACTTAACTTTCAGCTGCTCAGACAAAGTGTTTGAGTCCCACCAGCACTTTCTCTTGTGTCCTCACTCAAGCTGTGTGAGCGCCGACCAGAGGAAAAGCCACCCTGGGCACAGCTGCCTCAGCCCCTGAGCATTGCTGAGCTCCAGGGCGCTGGGTCCCTGGGCACCGAGCCCAGGCAGCCCGGGAGTACTAACAGCCGGGCAGGCAAGCTCAGAGACTTCAGACAATTTTGGTAAGATTCCTCACATCTTTACTTCTTTTTTTTTTTAAAAAAAAACCCTTTCCATTCTTCCATTGAAAATTCCCTGGAAAAAAAGAGAGTAAGGATGTATTTTTGTTTCCATGGTTTGCATACAAGGAATCTGGAGGGAAGAAAATTTATATGATGTGACTTTCTCCCTAAGGTATCTACTGCACATGCGCTTCCTGAGAACATCTCTTGTCCCCTCAGCCATTAGGGCTCACATGAGGAGCCCAGACCCCGTCCTCTTCCTGTGTGGTGAGTGCATGGTCCGTGTCCATGGCACACAGCACTTGGGGAGATCACTTGTGGAGTGTAGGATTAATCAACTGTTTGGTGAAAGCATTTTTAAAAAGAAGTAATTGGGAGAACTTGCTGCTAGGCACTGGCTCCTGCTTTCTGGGGCTCTGGGGCTGGGGATGTGGTCCAGATCTTTGTGATTCCTGCCTGAGGATGAAGAGAAGAAAGTGCTAGTATATGAAGAGATATTTTGAAAGGTCTGTAACATCTTCTGCCAACATCTTTTTTGAATCAGCCCTGCGTGAACAAGCAAGAGCCCAGGAGAACCATGTCATACTTGCAGGAGATCCAGGCTCACTGGGGTGCAGCTCTGCATGGGATGAGGGATGGAGGGCTGCCACCACCAAGGGAGCATCACCTTGCTTTCCCTCTGCCCTGACTTGGCCTGTCCCCTCATCCCTTTGTGAGGTATCGAAATACCTCTATAGGGAACCAAAGAGCAAAACTGAGCCCTCCTTGATCACCATACATGCTTAGGTCCCCAAATCCCTAACCCCAAAGAACACCTTTGGCAAAAAGACAAGAATCAAAGGCGGAAACTCCCCTCCTTACACCAGTTTGCATCTCCCAAAATGTGTTGTTGACAGGCAGCCTGCTGGCAGCAGGACCACAAACCAGCTGGGCAGCAGGAGGCACTGACAGGAAAGGCAGCACTGCCCCGCTGCAGTGTGCTGAAGGGTGATGGCACTGGCATGTCGAAGGAGGCAGGCAGAAAGCAAGAGAAGCAGGTAATCATATGAAAAGATTAACCAATTTAATATGTCTTGCTCCTCAGTCTTTGGTACACCTTCTTTGCTCCATTCAGTGTCATGGCCATGGGTGTCCTCTCAGGGGGGATTTTTGGAGTAGATGGAACTGGACGTGCTCTGACCTCCAGGAGGTGAGTTACCAAGTGGCCCTCTCCCCCTATGACATCCCAAACTGAATTCCTCCTGGCACTCTGAGGAACAAGCTTCAGGGACAGTCACAAAGGGCTGGAGCTGGGGGTGGCAGTGGGGTTGAGATGGCATACTGGAAATGTAAAGCACAACCACATACTGAATCCATCTGGTCACCCTCCTCCTCATGGCACATCACCTTCTCCCCCCCTTACGCCCCTTGGTCACAATGGAGACCTCAGGGACAAGGACAGCTAATGGAGGGCAGTGGTGAGAAAAGAGGAGCAACAGGGGGGACAGATAAGTTATTTCTTTTAAGGAACACCTGACTTTACCCCGATAAAACCAGTGCAATGCCAGCAGATCCCATGTTCAAAAGATACCCCAAGAGTGTTGCTGGATCACAGTGCTCATTTTCCCCTGTAAAGCTGCTGTCTGAGTGAGGGCAGCTGCCTGTTTGGCTCCTTTCCCCCTGCAAAGCTGTACCTGTGCTTTGTAGGTGTGTTGTGTATTTAATTCTGGTCTTTGCAATGGGATCCACTGTAGCAATCCCCTTCCTGTGCATGCAGCCCATTTTCTATCTCCACCGGATCAGGTCCTGGGCTTCAAAGCACACGGCAAGCAGTGTCCCGTTTTATTATACGGTCATAAAGCAATGGCCCTTCTCTGGTTCCGTATACATAATAAATAGTAGTTATATTTGTAAATGGAGGCCTGCCAGAGACTTTAAGTACAAGACGTGAGATTTACTCTGAAAAAGGAAGAAGAAAACAAGAATCCTGACAGCTTTCTACCTGGCTGTGCAGCTGCACTGAGAAAGGTGCCCTGCAGATCAAAGAGAACACACTCCTGTTCTCCCCAGGTGCCGCAGCGCCTTGCCTGTTAGACCAGATATTAGTTATCAGGCAGCAATGCTATGGACAGCTCAAATGTGCACTTTGCTCTTCAGATGCTTTGAAAGCCAGAAGGATGCCAGGTTAGATTTAGAGAAGCACATATGGATGCGTTGCCTTCTCCAGCCTTGCACTGTTCCTTAAAATCCTCTGTTGCTCTGGATGAAGACAGACAGCACAGCTGTGGACAATCACAGCTGTAGAAGCATAATTGCAATTGCTGTCTGAGAGCTGCTTAGTGCTTCTGATAATCCTTGAGACCTGCAGTGAGTGACTACAGTACAAACAGAGAGTATTTGGGGGCAGAGATACAGTATATGAGCAACTCTGCAGAAGGACTGGAAAAAAATGCCTCTAACCTTTCAGTGTTTACATTTCACTGAAGGAAAAGAGTCACAAGCACAAGTCCAGACTGAAGTCCAGATTTCCCCACTCTGGGATTTCAATCACTTGGAAAGCATCTCTGAGGCAAAGTCCTATACAATGGCCTATCCTTAAAGGCTGAGATGCCACCATAGCTCAGCTCTCAGCCTAGTCACTGGATAGAATTGCATCACCAGTCCACTGACAGCATATCCCACCAGTTCATGTTTAAAGGGGTGTTCAGCTTCTGGGGAGGTAACGGGAAGGTGACGGCAGTGAAGTCTCATGTCAGTGTCAGGAACAACTGTGTTTCAGCAAAACCTCCCTCTAAACCCCATACACTGTGTAACAGATGGCACATCTGTTTCTATTTCCACTATGATCTCACTAATCACTTTTTAAGAATCTAGCATTCAGGGTTAATCAACATGAGCTGAATTACAGTAAAGGTTCCTGCAGCAATGGAAAAATCCCATGCAACTCTCTTTCCCCAAGTTATCCTCTTGGATAGCGGGGTTTATCCTCTGCCTGAATTCTGCCCAAAGCACTGTGATCCCTGCAAAGCCAGGGCCTCTTTCCAAAGAGCTTCTGACTCTTCTAAGTCTTTGTCTATTTGACAAGGCAGGTCTGCCAATAGTTGATTTTTCTGTTCAGCAGTCAAACAATCATGATAGAGGTGAATAAACATGTTACAGGTCAACACCAAAACCCTCACAGGAATGAAAAGGTGGATTCCCAAGGAGATCTTGTCTTCAGCTGCAAGGCTGATGAAGAAAAGCTATCATCCACTGTAATCCACTGCCTAAAACATCAAAGGCTCAAAGCACCTAAGATGCAAGTTCAAGACCCTTCTGTTTCTCATACAGAAAAAGATTTGAAAAAAGGTTTCCTAGAAGCAGCATCACACTGGGTGTGCCAGGCAGCACTGGGGCCACATTGGAGCTGGAGCGCAGCAAGGCAGGAGACTGGCTTAGCCTGATGGTGCCTACGCTGCACAGTAAAAGCAGGCCAGGGCAGTGTGGCAGTGCTGGGCTCACAGACACTGCAACTACAGCTTGTCCCTGCAGAGAAAGTTTGTCTTGGAAACAGCTACTTGGAGTGATACAACTCCTAGCCTGAGAGTTAGCAGAGAGTCCAGTGGAGAATAAGCAGAATCCCAGGGCTAGAGTCCATCCCCTCTTTGCTGGAGATGTAGACATGCCCATCAGATGTACCTACACTGTCAGAAACAACTTTCCAGATGACTCACGGGGCCTCATCCTTGATTGTGCCCATTGTGTCCGTTAGCACATGCCCATGTTCTCCTCTAGAGTTGGACAAGCAGTTTCCTCCAACCCTCAAGAAGCACTACTCTGGGTACAGCTACTCCCTTCCCTCCTCCAGCATGGTCCCTCCAGCCTTTCCATCCTTCAGCTCTCCTGAACACTCTCATGCCTCAGTCTAGGGCATGCAACACACCCTGACTGCTTTACACTATGGAAACCCAACACTAGTGAGCTACAGCGTCGTCTTCATTATCCTGCGCATTTTGAGCTGAGATGAAAGAAAAAAAAAAACAAAAAAAAACCTACAAAAATACTAGGTCTCTCTTGGGTCCATAGGCACAACATGCAGGGACAAGCTGAGCTGTAGTCAAGTGCCATGTCATGCAGCCAAGGCCAACCTACTTTACATGGGCTGGCCCTGAGCAGAGTGAACACAACCACTCTCAACCACTACCTCCTGGCTCCCAGCTCTCTGGGGCAGGCAGTGTGGCCTTGTAGATAATCTGCTCTATCTGGTCCAATAAACAACATAAATAAATAATTTATACCACATTATACCCTGAGCAGGAGGATTAGGAGAGCCCTGTTGCAAGCTGACCCACAGCCTGTGGTTTGGCCGCGATCTTAAAGTGTAGCACATGTCAGGTAAATCTTCACTGCTGTTGAGGTAGAGAGGGCCTTCAAACATCTCTCCCCAGTGTTACTTGTCTGGACTTTCTTGTGATATCAGCTTCAAAAAAAGTCAATAAACATGTCTTCAGAAATATCAAAGCAAGACATTTTGATCTTTCTAATTTTATAGGTTAAATCCGATCAATGTATTGCACTCCTATTGGCAGATAGTTCTCATCAACCAGAAATTGTGCTTTTCAACTGTTCTTCAGAAATCCTTGGCTCTACTTGGGCCCCCCCTCCCACTGCCACAGGAGAGGGCAGAGAGGTTGTAGGTAATGCTTGGTGTACGGATCACCTCTGCTCTGGCTCTAAAGTAGCCACCAGCTGGTCTCACCCTCTGCCAGCTCTTCTGCTTGGACACAATGAGGTTCTTCAGTACTCTCCATCTCTTGCTGTGGGCAGCTTCTTCCTCAGCCGCATCTCTCCCGCTGCCATGTAAATATTTGGTTATGTAATTTAATTTCCATATTGAGGATTTTTAGCTGTTATTGGTGTTTCTATGTCCTTGCTTTCAGGACACAAATCTTTATGATCCCATCAGGTTATACCACCTATTGTCTGTCATATTGTAAACACCTTCTTAGGAACAGGTACAAACACAGCAACAATAATTTTTGTTATCAGGACATGACAGTGGGTCTCCATGGGTGGCTTGACTGAGAACAGCCACATGTCCTCTGAGGACACACTACTTGGCCCTGATTTTTTGCTGCATCCATCACCATATGCACCAGCATCAGTCAGCAGGGTCCCACAAAGCCCACTGGAGCCATTACAGGCCATTAAAATGGCAGCCTTGGCACCTGTAGGGCTAGCACTGCCTGCAGGGTTTGAAAGACATGCATTCCTGGTTGTGCTCCTTTTAAAGCTGACTTGTTTTAGGAGGAATTTCACAGTGCGCAGCTGGCAGTGGCAGCCAGCAGACACAACAGTGTCCGGGCTCCACTTTGAGATCTTCAAGAGTCTCTGGGGCTGCTGGGGGACTCCTGGAGCCCTTTGAGGACCACTTGGGTGATGCTGTGGTTGAGGATGCTGCAGCCTCCAATGGGGCCTGGCCAGCCCCTGCCGTGCCAGCAGCCTCGGCCCAGGTTGAGCTCCTGAAAGAAGGTGAAGCTCTACAAAGTTGGGGCTGAGGGACACGGGGGACCTCCCGCCAGGGTCAGGGAGATGCTTGGCTGCCCCAGCCCCTCAGCAGAACCTGGAGGATGTGGCAAGTGGCAGCAGCGGGAGATTCCCTGCTGCAGGGGAGAGAGGCCCCCATCTGCTGACCCAGTCTGGCATCGAAGGAGGTTTGCTGCTTGCTGAGGCTCTGGTTTTGCTTTTCCATGAGGCCACTAATGAAATGGCCAGGGGAGACCTGGAGTACATCAAGCATAGCTACATGTCTCAGGGGGTGAGTGCCAAGGCCGTGGGGTCCCTGCTGTTTTTCTCCTCAATGCTGCTGTTGATGGGGAAGGGCTTCAGGAGGAGTGGATGTATCCTGTGGTGCAACTACTGGTTGTGAAGCTGCTGTTAACAAGGATTTTGTTTTTATTACTATGGGAGTCTCTTTGAGGATTGAGGACTACTGGGAAGGGATGGGATCCATCTCACCAAATGGGACAAAAGTAGGCCAGCAGACTGGCCAACCTGCTGGGGAATAACTTCAACATAGGAACAATGGGGGAGGGAGTTGGCAACCCACCATCATGTAGGAAGTGCTGGACCAGGTTGGCAAGGGAAGGGTTCAGTGTGATGCAGACAGGAGACACATCATAATCAACAAAACAGGGATGGAGGGAGAACCTCAAGGCTACCTACATAGATGAGGAAGTCCCTATGGGAGAACTTCATGGTGGAAACTCTCACACGTATTCTGGGAAATCAGCACGACTGGGTGCCTCTCTGAAGTGCCTGCACACTAATGCGCGTGGCATGGGGAACAAATAGGAGAAATTAGAGGTCTGTGTTACATTGCAGGGATACAATCTCATTGCGATCATGAGTTGTGGCAGAACAGCTCCCTGCTATGGATGTTGCCAGGAATGGACACAGGCTCTACAGCAAGGAGAGGCTGGGTAGACTAAGTGGGGGATTCCCTTGATTTGAGGGAACAGTGGGAATGCATGGACCTCTGCCTTGGATGGATGAGGAGCCAGCTGAGAGCTTATGGGTCAGGATAAGTGGACAAACAAACATGGATGACATTGTTGTGGATGTCTGCTGTAGACCACCTGATCAGGAAGAAGTAGTTGAGGTCTTCTTGAGGCAACTGGAGGAAGTCTCATGTTTGCAGGCCGATGAGGACGTGGGAGACTTCAACCATCCCAATATCTGCTGGAAGGGCAACACACCAAGGCACAAGCAATCCAGGAGGTCTCTGGAGCACACTGATGATAACTTTCTGACACAGGTGACTGAAGAGACCACAAGGGGAGATGATTTGTTGGACCTCAGAATCACAAACAAGGAAGAAATGGTCAGGGATGTGAAGGCTGGGGTGGCTTTGGCTGCAGTGACCATGACATTGTGGAGTTTAGGATCATGAGAGGAGGGAGTATGGCAAAGAGCAGGATCACAACCCTAGATTTCAGGAGACTTTAACCTTTTCAGACTACTGCTTGGAAGAATCCCATGGGATACAGTCCTGGAAAGCAGAAAGGTCCAGTGAAGCTGGTTGATTTTCAGAGATCACCTTCTACCAGCTCAAGAATGGTCTATGCCCAGATACAAGACATCAAACCAAGGCAGCAGGAGGCCTGCATGGATGAGCAAGGTAGTCCTGGCAGATCTCAAACACAAAAAACCCAAGGGTGGAATCAGAGTCAAGTAACCCTAGGAATATTATAAAGACACTGTTGGAGTGTGCAGGGATGGAGTTAGGAAAGCCAAAGCCCACATGATGTTGAATCTGGTGAGGGACATGAAGGGCTTCTATGGCTAGAAAATATGGGACTGCTGCTGGATGGGGAAGAGGGGACCTGGTCATGCAGAACATGAAGGCTTAGTGAGGAGAAGGTGCTGACTGGGAGAAGTCATTTTGTTTTTATGAAAGGGAATCCATGCTTAACCAACTCCCCAACCTTCTATGATGAGATGACCAGCTTAGTGGATGAGGGAATAGCAGTGGATGTTGTTTACTCAACTTTAGCAAGGCTTTTGACACTATCTCCCATCCGCATAAGTAAAATGATGAAGTATGAGCTAGACAGGTGGACAGTGAGGTGTGTGGAAAACTGGCTGAACTGCCAGGCTCAAAGGGTGGTGACCAATGACATGAAGTCCAGCTGGAGGCCAGGCACTGGTGGAGAACCCCAGGGTCAATAATGGGTCCAATACTTTTTAACATCCTCATTAATGACCTGGATGTTGGGATAGACTGCACCCTCAGCAAGTTTGCAGAGGAGGAGGGAAGTAGGGGTTGATGCACCAGTTGCCTGTGCCACCATTCAGGGGGACCTCAGCTGGCTGGAGAAAAGGGATGACATCAATCTCATCAAGTTCAGTGAAGGGAAGACTCCTGCCCCTTGGAAGAAACAGCCCCATGCAGCAGTCCACACTGGGAGCTGACCAGGCTGACAAGCAGCTTTGCAGAGAGGACCTGGGGCTCCTGGTGGACAAGCTGTCCATGAGCCAGCAATATGTCCTTGTGGTAAAGCAGGCCAACAGCCTCCTCAGCTACATTAGGAAGTCACTAGCAGGTCAAGGGAGGTGATCCTGCCTATCTGCTCAGCACTGGTGGTGCTGTGTCCAGATCTGGGCTCCCCAGTACAACAGAGACATGGACATACTGGAGTGAGTCCTTCAAAGATGCTTAAGTGACTGGGGCAACTGAATAAGGAAAGGCTCAGCAAACTGGGGTTGTTGACCCTTGAGAAAAGAAGGTTCAGGGAGGATCTTAACTATGTGTTGAAGCACCTGATGTTGGGAGAGAGTAAAGAAGATGGAGCTAGGCTCTTCTCAGCAGTGCCTACTGACATGACAAGAGGCAGTGAGCACAAACTGAAATACTTTTTTACTGTGAGGGTGGTTGATCAACAGAAGATGTTGCCCAGAGAGGTTGTGAAGTCTCCTTCCTTGGAGATACTCAAAACCTCACTAGACATGGTCCTGGTCAACCAGCTTTGGCTGACCCTACCTGAGCAGGGGGCTTGGCCTAGGCAATCTCCAGAGGTCCCTTCCAACCTCAACCATGTTGTGATTCTTTGAGTTTCGTTTTAAATCTCCAGCAGAAAGCACAGTTATTTTCCAGTATTCCATCAATTCTCACCTCAGTACAGGAAATCTGGCTTTCAAGCCCAACAGCACATTGAACCTTTACCAAACCTGTGAGCCCAGAGTTTCAGGAGAGCTTTAACAACATAACAAACAAAGGAGGTACAAAAGGTGCCATGCAAGTCAGATGTTTCTACTACAATAACCATACGATCAGAAGTTTCTCAACCAAAAGCATTTGCTGTCAGGACAGAGTGGAGCCAAGTCAGCCTGATTCAGGTTTTTAGAGTCAATTTTATAGTGTCAGAAGGAGTTACTTAGTGCCACCCAGTGTTGACAGCTAGAAAAAGGAAGGTTTAAATATGGTTACAGCTGGGTGTAGCCCAGTGAAACGGGAAAAATATCCCTACTCTTGCTTTCTGTATCAGGAGTGAGTAATTCCACAGAAGCTGTGCAGCACCGAGGTCCAGGAGACAGCTGTCGTGCAGCTGAAATGTGGCTTATCCGTCTTGTTAAAAAAAATCTTCCACCTTTTATATTCACCTTTCAAAGAAGCTAATCAGTTTAAGAGGTAGATGGCCTCTTTTGTTACAAGACTCACTCCTCTAGTCTGATATCAGTCTAAAAAGCCGTGCTGACTTTTCTGGTTAGTTGTTCAGAAATTTAGACAAGAAACAATTATGTAAGAGGTGTCTCTTTCCTAGGATAAATAGAGTACAGTTAAAACATTACCTTTTTCCCTCTTTATCTCAGATGTTGCATGTGACCTGCCTTTTCCTTGAAGTCTTCCAAATTACATGGGATCTCACATATATCAGACATGGAAATAAATACTCTTCCAGTTATGATCTTTGGATGATTGAATAATTGCTCTTACACTTTTGTCCTTCAAAAGATTATATAAAGCTGGTTAAGTGTCACAGTGCCATTTAACAGACAAGGAAAGAGAGGTGCTGAGCAGGCATTGTCCTCCCCATCGCAGCAGAGAGCTGGGACCTGGCCAGGAGGGGATGGATGAGACCCAGAGCCCAGAACTCAAGTGAGAAAGAGAGTAAGGGGAAAACAAGGCACTGAGATGACTCAAACCTGCCAGACACTGGTGGTTGAGTGGATCCCAGGGTGGTGGTTTCACCTGTAGTGGCCATGGCAGAGAAATCCTCCTTCTAGGATTCTGGGGTCCTTTACTCTGCCTCGAACTAGTCTTGTTGCCCAGAAAAAAAAGAAGACAACAGCAATCTGAGTGGTTCTCTGCTGGTTTTTTATTTCAGCCCTTAGAAGACAGAGGTTCAAGGAGAGACTGACACAGGAGTATCTCACATTGATACAACAAAAACCAACAGCAAAATGAAGGGCGGTTGCGCTCTGAAGCAACCTCCCCTCCATGAGGTGCCATGCTGGTTATCCATGTTTCTGGGTGGGAGTAATCCCTACTGGCATTTTTACTTTTTTCTCCCACCCATGGAGCCATCTCCCAGTCACACAGCCAATTCCTTGGATTTGTGCCTGCTGAAAACAAGCTTGCTTTCTCACTTACCTTTCACTGAGTGCTGGGAAACAGGCCAGGCAGTGCGGCCGCAGGTCACGTGCTGAAAACTCCTCTTCTGTGGGGCCAACACACTCAGGGTGGTTTTTTCTTCTCTTCCACAAGGTCCCACAAGGTTCCTGGAGGACCTGGGAGCTGGGCTGGCTCTGCTGGCTCCTGTAGGAAGACCTCTACAGTCATTAATTACATCTGCATGTCTCACTAGGGCCCCACATGTCCTAGGTGCTCTCCACAGCTATGAGATTCCCTGTCCTCCTCCGACAGAGCTCACAGTTTAAAACCCAAGGTGGAAAATCACTAATTCCTTGGGACGACTGCTCAGATGTGCCTCAGGAATTCATGAAAAAGAGAATTTTCCTGAAGAAGGGCCACAGGACACTGTGTGTACAGAAAGAGTTGGGCGGAGGAAGGAGACCAGACAAATACAGCATTCATGGAAATATATCCATGTGCATCCCCTGAGTTAGGAAGGTTTACAATGACAGACAGTCCCTGCTCCAAAGGTTTTACAGTCCCAGTGATCAGGATGAAATAGCAGGAAGGGGAAAGGCAGAATCAGGAGACCTGGGGGTCCCTATGTTACATAGAGCAATTCTGCTCAGTTCGCAGGTCTGAGGCATTTTTAAGCCTATAAATAAACTGGGAACGTTAATGATGCCATTAATCTCCATTGGCTGACGTCCCAGCTATTTTCAGTGGCGAGGTTACCTTGCCTCTCCCAGCAAAAGTAGGTCTCGAGGGGAGGGTTGGGCGGGCAGTGAGGACGGATGCCGTGTGCCCGAGGCCTGGGGCCACCGCCCTCGGCGGGAGGACACTGCTGCCGTCGTTGTCAGCGCATCAGGAGGAGGTGTCCCAAGCACTAACCCTCCTGGCTCCCTGCCTAGAGGGAAACACACAAAAACAGTCGTCAGGTGATAAATGACGGGGAAAAGTGCTCCCAGCTGCAGAGGGAAGTGAATGACTGCTCCTGCCTGCAGCCCCTGCAGCGGAGACCCTGTCTTCATCTCCTGCAAGGAGATAACCCTGATGGAGACCCTCTGCTCCTCTGGGCCTCCTGGGAGCCTGCTCCCTCACCTCTGCCTTTCCAAAGACAGAAAGTGGCAGGGCTCATAGCTACTGGAAAGGGGGGAGCATAGGAGGGGACAGGCCAGGGGGCCCCAGAACACTAGCCTAGGGCAGGGAGTGGCTGGGGTGCAGGTCTCTGGGGAGAACAAGGTCTAACCTGAGAGAGCTTCTTGCCCATCACTCACACCAATAGTCAGTGCTTCCCTCACAGTCAGAGAGAAAAGATGTCCCTTTCCTTTCTACCCAGGGAGAGCAGGAATGTCATAAATTCAGACGGTAAAAGGTTCTTTTCCTCCTTCCCACAAACACCAGGGGAAAAAATAAAGAGGTGGATACATGTTGCTTTTCCATTCTTGTATAAAGCTGGTTTGAGGCAGATCAATATATAGGTGCCCCAACGCATCCTTGCATTGTCACATATCGTATGACACAAGAAAAGCTCTTCTCTCTGCTCTTTGCTAAGGTCTCACTGTGGGATCCCCTGAGGAGACCAACCCCAGATCCACATCTGCCAGGGGCGAGAGTGGCCCAACATCTGCCCTCAGTGCTCACACTGTCCCCAGAATTGATTTGGCTGTAGATGGTATGATCCCAAGGTTCATCTTACAAGTGTACCTTGCTTTTTCTTATTTTGTTATTTCTGTTAAAATATGTCAGGAAAAATTATGTCTTTGAAAACCAAGTCTGCACGCTGCTTTCCTTTGACCTGCCCGCTCAAATTTCCAAGATGGTCAGATACTACCACATGTGGTTAGAGAAATGAATGCTCCTGTACCACCAGATAATAACACTGGCCAAGCTTTTCTTTTATCTTCCGCAACAAGCTCAAGAAGTTGAGACATTTGCTAAGTAATATCACAAAAGAGTTGTTCACACTCTGGTCCCAAGTGACATTTGGCTACTGTAGCTGTTAGAACTTACTCTCCTGAAGCATCCAGTGGCACTGGACTCAGTTTCCCTATCTTCTCAGAAAGCACACACTGTTTTTTGTTCCTTGTGTTACTCAGCGTTGTTTCCCAAATTCTTAATACCTATAGTGGTCTGGATGCCACTTCCTTATAACATATCAGCTAGAAAAAATTAAGAGAAATTTGGGTGGTTTTCTCACCATAACAATGACATTTTGGGGCCAATTTCTCTGTGGAAGATCCAGCCCTCTTGACATGGCTTGCAGCTCACAGATAATGCAACTTGTTCTCCCTCAGGAACTGCTATGAAACACATTTAATTTACTTGGGTTTTGTTGTTTTGCCTCCATTGTATCCAGTGGATGATCTGAAAGCACTGTTAATACTATAGCTTCCACGCTGCAACTGCTGTCTCCTCTCTTTTAGGGGTCATGCAGAATACGACCATTTGAAGGTCTCTGGAGGCCTGGGAAGCATGTGCATGGCATAAGGAGGCAAGGTTTGGTGCTGCATATAGACAAGCAGAGACAACTGGATCCCTCACTGTGCACTGGATCTGTGAAGGGGAGCTATGGCAAGATCTGAGACACCAACCTCAGTGATATCCTACTATACAGTGGAGAGGAAGTTTTCCCCTCCTTAATGAACTTCCATAGTGTCAAGCCATTTTTGCAATGCCTTTGCAAAGACTCCTTTTTGGTCCCTACTGCCCATAACTGGAACTCTAGGGAGCCTCTCAGCCCCACCGCTCACTCAGGACACTGCCCTTTTGGATGTGCTAATGCAGTGCAGCAGGGAGCAGGCACTACAACAATTCTTTGTCTCCACGGAGGTGTCTGTATGTCACATCTCCAGCAGCTTTGGCAGACTCGGTGCAGTTATTATTAACTCCTAATCGCTACTTGCCGACTTTGCTGGGTGGTTGCCAGGATGGGAATTTTCTTTATCAATGGAATTTCATCAGTTGGGTTTGCTTGCTATGCATCAGTTTGTTACATTTAGAGATATAGCCATCTAAATTCTATTGGTATAAACTGAAGCAACATCAATCTCAGACAAGAAGTGTGGAAAAAAAGCCCCTCAAAATCACTGTTTTACTCCCAGTATTCTGTGTCTGGAGAAACAGCATGTTCAACAAGAAACCAGCTTGCAATTGCAATCTGGCACAAGACACACAGAGATACTCCAGACAGACTTAACATTCACCTTGACAAAGTAATCAACTTGTCAAGCAAAGGAAGTCATCGTGGCCAGAGTGGTGATGGAAGGTAACTAATACTCTCCATCTGCAGCATCAGGCAATTAAGGATTTAAAATATTACAAGAGAGGAGAGCTGAAATGTTAGAGAAGAAAACATATATACAGAAGTGGAGACATTAGCAACATGTAAAGGCCAGAAAAATGGGAAAAAAAATGCCAGAAATGTTTCATATTCAAATGAATAACAGCCTCAAATGAAGTGGTTAAAGCTTGTTGCATATGGTAAAAATACAGGCTAAGCCAAGCAAATGGTCTCAGGCTAGTAGCACAGAAGATATTATCTCCCTAGAGCAAAAAAGGCATCTGTTTATTTATCTTGGTTATGAAAATGTCCTTGTCAGATGTTAACCATGTTGAGCTCTCTCTGGGCAGGTCACTTCCTCCCAGCTGCAGAAGAGACTGGTAAACCAACACATGATGCATCTACCCATCCTGAGCAGTCATCCCTGCTCTTCCCAGGAGTGCTAAGCTCCCCAAGCGGTCTCAGAAGTTCCAGTCCTTCCTCAGCCTGGAAAATCCTGCTACAGGAAAATGAGGCTGCTAGTAGTAGCAACACTGGAAGCCTGTGCACCTGTGAAGCCTCACCTGTACAGAATCACTCTGCGGGGACAGGGTTACATAAAAAGTGCCTTTAATGGCAATACTGGCTAAAATAATTCCTTCCTGCTGACCCCGCTGCTCATTCACCCCAGAGCATGGTTCCTGCTGGCACAGCCCTTCCTGGCAACAAGAGGGGAGTGCTGAGAACTGGGGCCCAGACCAGTCTTACATAAAATCCAGCAAAAACTTGTTGCTGTTTAGAAAAGCCCACCAAGCAAAGAAAAAAACCTAACTCTGGGAGTTCCCTGCTTAGCACACCGATGAAGAGGTGATGCACTGCAGCTCAGAGGTAGGAGGAAGCAGCTAGAGCAGCAATGGGCATTGCTGCCAAAGGTTAGTCTCAAACTATGTCCACTGTTTCCACATTCCCAGAAGGAAAGAGCAAAGGGTGACAGTGTCTCAGACAGGCAATAGCTGGAGTGAGGTGGAAGAGCTGAGCCCCGCACCAAGGCTTAAGTGAAACAATGCATGCAACCACTGACTGACAGCACTGGTGTCTCCAGGAAGGTCTGAGGACCCACACCTGATCTGCACCTTTCAGAGACCAACAAAAGCAGTGATTCATCAAAGTCTCTCTTGTTAATGTTGACAATTAACTCTTATATTTGCCTGGGAAAACAGGTCCTGGTGTCTTTCCTCCAGGAGGCTCAGGTACAGAGTAGGGTACACAGAAGTAGTAGCCCATTGTTGCCTTCTGTGGGACCAGGATGATGCTGTGCTGGCCAGGCAAGAAAATTAAATTGCTCCCCTGGTCCTAAGGGAGTGTTGGAGAGACTATGGCATTCAAGAACCCTGGAAATGACCACAGCTATATAAACCTGACATCTCAGTATGCCCTGAAGCAGCAGAGCCTCCTACGGCTGCTGGTCTGAACAGACTGCTTTAGCTAGTTTGGGTTTCTCAGTGTACTAGAGGAGAAATTAGACAGTTGTGAGATTCAGTCTCTAATTAGGTCCCTGTAGTGGTAAGATTGCTTCCTTTATAATCACTCAGTGGGAACTCGTACTTTATCTTCTGTACTCAAATTTTTATTTCTTTCACCCTCGTTTTCTATCTAAAGCCTGCAGTCTCCCAGTTCACTGGATGACAGCTGCAAAAGCCTCTGACATTCACTTTAAGGACATTTCATTTCAGCTGCTTCACATTTCTTTTTGACAAGCTCTTCTAGCGATATTTACTGCAACTAATGAATTAACTCATGGCTGGACCACTCGCTAGTCTTTTCAACCCACACTGGTTTAAATCTTGATTAGCTGGTTTGATTTTTAAATCTCAGAGAATTGCTAAATCCAAGCTGTCCTGCATCACGAGGTGATTGGGAGATTGTTCCCAGTTACACAAAGCAGCAAGCCATGGGCATTAGGCATTAGGCATTTGGGGCAACCCCACCTCTTCAGCAGGTAGCAACCCAGTGTATTAACCAGGGGAAGTAGTTCAGTTCACAGGGAACGTTATTTGGATAGCTGGAAAGACTCTTACTAATTTAAGGGTATGTGAAAAATGATGCAATGCAACATGAACCACATTTCACAAGCATCTTGCACAAGTGATATGAACAAATGCACCTTTCTCCACACTTTTGCAGATCCTCTTTTCTGTTTCTAGCTTCTGAGCACATCCTTAGCAATGAATAGCAGCCCAGAGTTTCAAATTAGGATCCTTATCTGAGTTTCTACATAAAGTTAGTCTGATCTGTATAGATTCTGTCCTCTCAAGTCCCAAGATACTGACAGGGTCTGCAGGTGTTCAGCTGTTGAGGCAGTCAGGTCATTTTTATTTTGCCAACTAACTGTGGGCGTAGGCACCTGATTTTCAGTGATATGACTTCCTATTTTAAAATTCTGGCTTGAAGGTAAGCAGAAAACTGGAATTTGTAGCTCAGAGCCTGGGAACACAATAGTCATGTAGTTGCCTAAGTTCAGGCTGAAAAGCCAACGCACATGGAGGCAACTTGTCAGACAAAACAAAATAGTGAGTTATTAATATCAGAGTCTCAACTGACTTGAGAGTCAAACAATATCAAACAGAAGGTGTCTTCCCTTTTTCCTATTTATCTCTTGCTATTTTAGAAACCAGGGGAGACAAAGAGTTAAAGAGTTTCTCAGTTTGGTGCTACAAGGCAGTGAAATTGAACTGGCAGACTGAACATCACCACAGTAAAGATATGGCATCTCTCTCCTCAAGACTTTAAAGTTTTTGCTGTATTTTTAAACAAATAGGCAACCTACTTTGAAATGATGGAGTGGAACATGACAAAATAACGTAGTGCAATGGCATTCAGGAATTTAGATACAGTGAACAATAAATGAAATGACAGGGGAGGGTAATAGGCTGGCTTGGTATAATTATCTAAGAAAAACGCTGGAACTAAAGAACTTTCTCCTGAGAAAGTGTCATTTGATTTTTAATTAACACAGGTCATTAGTACTACAGTTCCATGTTGTGTCTGCATGATGGTTTACCAAAGCAAGATCAAATTACTGGCAGGGTCCTAGGAGGAAGCTCTAGGGTAAAGGAAAAATACCATACATGTTGGCTTACCACTACACAGTATAGAAATGTGCAAAACTTGCTGGACTCATGGCCCAGCCTCATCAGATCAGCGCATCACACACCAGAGAGCACTTAGCTCTCTGTTTTCACTGCTGCTGAACACAGTATTTTTCTCTCAAACAAGGACAATTTGAAAAATTGCCTTTTCTAAACGGCAACTGGACACAGTCCCTTCGTGAAAGGTGAGACTGAGCAGGAAACCCTGCACTGAAAGCAGCCAGCGATGGCAGAAAAGGAGAGCCAGCCTGTTGGGATGTGGGTTCATTGGCTGCTGGTGGTGCTCTTCTGTGTCTCATCACCACTGTGAAGGTGATGGGGCCAGGGAGCTGCCTTCCTGGCCCCCA